AAACTGCCTGCATGTTTACTTGCACATTGTCTATTGTTTGCACATTGTCTTGATGCACTGTTTGCACTTTGTTTTGTTTTTACACTTGTTTTACAATCGAGAGACTTTCTGTAAGTAAGAATTCCATTGTACCAGTACCGGTTACATATGGCAATATACCGGTTACATATGGCAATAAAGTTCAAGTTCAAGTTCAAGTGTATCAATGCTGAGGTCAAGCAACAGTAGACATGTCAGCAAGTGAGCCAAGTCCTCTTGACAAGTCAAGTTTGCAGTACCTGATGGATGTCAGTGAGTGTTGTGCAGCTATGCAGAACAATACCCTAATTGTTGAATATGTGTTACATCGATTGATGGGGAGGTCCAAGAGTGAAGATCTGATTGGTAGGGAATTCACTTGAAGAGATTCATAACAACCTGACTGCATGGCACTACATTGACAGTCTACATCCTTAAAGTCCCAGGATCTTCTCTGCTGCCATTCCAGCAGGCTTATCATGACATGACAGCAATCCCGCACCACAATTTCATAACGTAACAACAGCTTTTTTATGCCATGGAAGATCTACTACAGACTTGAGTGGCCCTTCTCACTTATCATGAGCTTTAATACTAGGCGGTAGTAAGATGATGGAAACTGTAAACCTCATAAATTAAAACCATTGCCAAACTCAGATCAAACAACATCTTGCTTCCCATAAATCACACCATATTTACAATAATGCAACGGCTTCAACCAGCAACAAACAGATATTGACTTTGTGAATATACTGTATAAATGACGAGTTTTGATAAGTACACTTACAGTAAAAACCATTAAAAAGAAATGTATAATTAACACATATGGAAATAAAACTGTAAAAGCTAATTGTTAAGTAAGAACTGTAGTGTATATCTGAGTAGGTATTGCTTTTTTTGTGAAAGTATATACAATATACTTATTTTCAAAATAGTGTGACCTGAAGGATACATGACACAGTCAATATCAATATCACTGAGCATAGGATGTAACCTAGCGAAAATGTATGCAGAGATGCATAAAAAAAATTATCAAAGGAATGCAAAATCCCTAGAAGTTTGTGTTCTCTTATTCAACGCTCTCCTCCAAAATCTCGGAAGTTTTCTCTGAATTTTTTACAAGTACATTATTGTGAGCTTTTAATAATTGTCTATTATTATTGACCATTTGTGGTATTAGAAAACAGTATTTTACAGAGTTCTGAAATTGATTTCAAGACAAAATGTGCCCATATGTATATATAATCAAAGAAGTGGTTACATTTTAAAAAAATATTATTAGTCCTGTTGCTGCTCTTATAAGTACAGACAATAGAAATGGTAAATGCTACCACCTAGCCTAGGAATTTATGCACCCTGCTGAAAATACATTAGGGAGTGTTAGCTTCTTCAATATATAGATAATATTTATTTTGAATTAAACTTCCATCCAGCCTTGATATTCCTTTAGTGCAACAGAAATATTGTGTATAACGAGTTCATTTCTAGGCCAGCAACGGTCTGAAACGGTCATTTTAATGAAAAAGCTTGGGACGAGGCTAGCCAAGATCCAAATGTAAATAGAATAATCTATCATGATTCCTGCAAATTTCAGTGCAACCGAGCTTCAATAGAAATAAAAAAAGCAGCGAACAATTTTCAAAAATAGTTTAATTGAATTATATACTGTGCGGCTACAGAAAACGTAATATTGAAACAAATTAGATAGCTGAGCATTTGATTAGTTACAATTCCCAGTCTTCTGATTCATTTTACTTAATTCTGTAAAAATACAGATCGTGGTCCACGGTGTTTACTCTCTAATGTTTCTTCAGCAAACTGTCAGCTGTAAATCTGATTTGAACATTGGGTTTAGCTGTCTTCTCACACGTCCGTTTAGAGGTCTTCGCAGGAGAGCATCCCCCCCAGTCACAGTTTGTATTCCCCAGAAGACGACTATACTGTATTTGGTGATGTACTTGAGACGGTCCAGTACTACTGCCAGTAGTTGACACACAGGCGACTCCGCTTAGCTGCTGAAGCTTTATTGGTTGTTTCGTGGAGACATCACACATCAAAGCAGCTTTATATAACCGAGGCATTGTCCAAACGAGGAATTATTTAGATGGTTGTTAATACTTTGGACTGCGTCTGCAGACTTGCTTCAAGTATTCGTCTTCTTGTGTACAGTAGATGTTTCATCTGAAATGAGCTGGCGTTTTGTGATATACTCTACTATTGGCTGGGAAAAAGTAAGAGGTTCGCTGCCGTGGATAAGAAACTTGTAAATAGTGAATAAAAAGTGTCTAAGGAACTGCGCTATATACAGTACCTTTAACAGAACAAATCATTTGTACGTAAGAAAATCATACTTAAAATGCAGTGTCATATTCAATACCTTCACGACGCATAAAAACAAATAGCAAATCCGAAAATGACGAGGTACATGTGGCTGTCCTTGCCATATGTCTCTAAATCATTTCAAAAGTCTGATGGGACCAATTTATCGGACTTGTTCTCAGCTTTCTACGGGTTTCCTAACAGCTCTTGGTTTTTCAACTGGAATTTTACGCTCGATGAAGGAATTTATGACAACGGAACCAAATATGAAACTGAATCACAGAATCCGACTGTAAAGGCTCTTCTTATAGTTGCTTATTCGGTTATCATCGTTATTTCTCTGTTTGGAAACATCTTGGTGTGTCATGTTGTAATAAAAAACAAGAGAATGCATTCTGCTACCAGCTTGTTCATAGCCAACTTGGCTATTGCTGACATAATGATTACCCTGCTTAATACACCGTTTACCTTGGTAAGTTGTCTTGATTCCTTTGCCTCTCACTGATGCGCTGATTAATGATCGTAATGTAATGTAGATTAGTTTGGCTTTTGTTAGAAAGATACATACAGATGCGGTGTGGTATTTTATTATTTATTATTAAGTGGGTCTTTTTATAAAAAGTGCCTCTATCCTTTCATATTTTGTAAAATAGAACCTTAATAAGAATAATGTAAGTTTGTAACATTCTGGGCAACCAAAACAGCCTTGTTACTGAATCCATGGTTTGCACAGCAAGAACCATTACAAGGTCTAATTTAAATTAATAATCATTAACAATGTACTGTATTCCGATTTATTTGATGTTAAAACGTGCATAGCTGCAAATACATTATTGAGTTACGTATGATATAAAGAAAGCTCTTATGAAAGGATATTAGCCTGTCTGACAAATTCAGTTTTTATATTTTACACAGAAATTAACATTTTGGTATTTTCTTCTCAGTGCGATATCTTTTTAACACCTCAGATAGTAAAAAGCTTTGAAACCAATTTGTCCACCTTGTTTGGGTTTCATCTGAAAAGCCCTACATTGTACAGTCATTCAAAACACTGTAGTCCGGATTATTTGAATACCAGCAAATGTTGCTACAGAAATCATTCTGCATATTCTGCTTATGAAAAGATACATTGCTTAAAGTAGCACTGTCATGTTTACTGTTGCTTCTGCGGATTTATGTTTTTTTCAGGTGAGGTTTGTTAACAGCTCTTGGGTATTCGGGAAAGCGATGTGCCATGTCAGTCGTTTCGCACAATACTGCTCAGTTCATGTCTCAGTGTTAACCCTTACTGCGATTGCTCTTGACCGACACCAGGTATGTGCAAAAATACTGTACCTTTTGCTCAGAAGAGCAAAAGAAACACTCTCTTGTCTTGTAAAAAATTCTGATCCCATCTTAAAAACAAAATATTTATTCAGTATACATTTTTCAAAATATAGATTTTCGTAAAGAAATGTTTATTAGAGATTTTTTCAAGGACATCCTAGCTAGCCATCTGCAATATTAATTAATTTGATGTTCAAAATGTAAAGGATTTGATGTTAATACCTCATATTGTGTAGTACAAAGTATAGCGTGGTTAGGTTAATGTGACTACATGTTACAGATGCAGTACTAAGTTTAAAGCTTCATACAGTAATATGTTTATTTCATTTGCTACCACACTAATTCTAAATGTAAAATAGTGTTTTGAAGAAGATTCTTTAAAAGTTTGCTAAGACCTGCATCCTGTATATTCATTATTAACGTATTATAAGGTGGAATATTGTGCACAATGCATGTGTTTTTATTTAAAGAGATTGGAATAAATCTATAGAAATACGTGTATATTGTGTTTTTTTAGGTGATCATGCATCCTCTTAAGCCCCGCATGTCAACAGTGAGAGGAGTGATCTGTATTGCTGTGATCTGGGTGATGGCAACCTGTTTCTCTTTGCCCCATGCCATCTATCAGAATCTTTTCCGCTTTGAATTTGGGTGAGATAAAAATACATTTTCTAATATTACATGGCCTGATCTCCCAAACAATAAACTAAGAGTTTATTATTGTATTGATCTATTAATCAAAAAGCCAGTTTTAAAGCCATACTATAGCCAGTGTACTGTCTTTAACATTTACATTTTTTTTCATTGTTGCCACAATCATAAAAGTCTCAGTAATAATCTCAGAATGTTTGCAAGAGCAAAACAGTAGATTTGTTTTTATGGAAAATGAGAGCTGTTTATGTTTTTTTTTCTTTAAAAAAACACTGTGATATATGTAATGTCATATAACTGTTGATTAATAAAAAAGAATATTATTTTTTTCTTTGTATTGAAGTTATAAAAAGGTCCGGATGGTGTGCCTTCATAGCTTTCCTCAGCCTGCTGACCTCTTTTGGAAGTATTTGGATTTGGCCACTTTTGTCTTACTCTATGTCCTACCCTTGTGTATCATCTCAGTGGCTTACATTATTGTGGCAAAGAAGCTCTGGATGAGGAATGCCATTGGTGATGTTACAATGGAACAGTACTTTGCTCATCGCCGCAAGAAGAAGATGACCCTGAAGATGCTAATGCTTGTGGTGGTTGTCTTTGCAGTTTGCTGGTTTCCACTGAACTGCTATGTAGTCCTGGTCTCTAGCAAAGCCATCATTACCAACAATGCACTATACTTTGCATTCCACTGGTTTGCTATGAGCAGCACCTGCTACAATCCCTTCATATACTGCTGGCTGAATGAAAGCTTTCGCTCTGAACTGAAATCTTTGTTATGCATCTGCAGAAGGCAGCAACCTACAAACACCCATGTCATGCCCTCAATTTCACCCCCCTTTAGGAATGCATGGGTTGAACGTGGAAACTGCAGAAGCAGTAAACTCATCAATCCAAGCACAAAGTCCACCTCCAAAATGCACTCTGGGAGAACAGACATTTCCATTGTGGAGCCGATTGTAGCTGTGACCTAGAGTTTAAACAGTCAAATATTCATTATAGTCTTGGCTTATGTGTGCATGGAACACAGGCACGAAAAAGAAAAGTGCAGAAGATAATATATGAGAATTAATTGATCTAATTTTTCTCATAGTGAACTGAGTGCCTGAGTAGCCACTGCCCTCCCTTATACATGTGATGTTCAAATGTAATTCTAATAACTGATGCACAAAATACATAATCTTACATATCCCAGGTGATTCCACTGGAAAAAAAGACATCACAAATTTGAGCCTGGTTTATGGCATAAGCCCAAGAGGGAGGGGCCGCTTTCCTCTGAACCTGTTATTTCAGAATGTGTAGCTAAAGGTGAATGACTGGAAGGGAACGAGAGTGAGAGCAGTCTGTTTGTACACCCTTATTCTCTCTATGTGAACACAGGGACCATCGCTATAAACGTAAGATGTAACAATGTAATTGGTCATTTCCATTTCATAAATGCTAATCAGTTGCGTTATAATAATAGTAATTGGCGATTTCAAATTAAATGAAATAATCTCACCGGATGGCAAACGTTTACATTTTAAAAACACAAGATTGCGATTTACAATGAATTATTTGTAGTTATGATTTATATTGAAAGCAAAATGTAAAGGCAAGAGATCATCATAATATAGCTGTATTTGTGTTTTTTCCATACACATACATGTACAGTATTACAGATTAAACACACTCCGTGCAACCTAATTGAAGCCCTTTGTGTTAATATAGTATGTACTGTATAATGAGATGATAGACGTGATGAAATCTGTGGTATATTGGCCTTAACGGAAACACCCTTTATCTAGTGACTTAATTTCTTTTAACAAAAAAGGCTGTCATGTTGACAATACAATTTCTACAAATAAGGTTTTCTATAAATAATGTGGATCCTATTCAAATATATTACTAATAACAACTGTATACTAATGAATATTTGCTGTATTAGTATATACAATACATCTAAAATATTGAACTCTTTGGAGAAAATTAATTTGCAACAGTTCATGCTCTATAGGAAGACTATGAGTTGCAAATTACTGTAAAATCTAATTGTAATATTGATGTCAAATGTCTGTCTTCAGAGTTTATGAAACCTTCTTGATGTATTTTCTGGTATATAAAAAGTGTTAATCAATTTTAATACCGTCTTTTTACATACAGTACTTCAAACTGTGGTGTCTGAAGTGATATTTTGAAAACCAAAGTGTTTAATGTATGATATTATGATATTTATAATAATTATTACTATCTAGATACTACTGCATATTCTTGCTGATTAATGTTGTTCATCACATTTTCATGTAAATACTGTACATGCAGATGTAATTAAATCCAGATCAAATGGTAACACAAAACAAAAGTAAAAGTTATCCACAAATAGAGTCACACAATTGTCTTGCACATCACGTTTCTCTCACAAACATGCTTTTAAAAACAGATGCCTTTTGCAAGTATTTGAAGCCTGTAAATAATTGACCAGCCACAAAAGAAAAAATAATAATTTGCATGTTTCCTCTGAAACAAGCAGTCAATACCATCCTAAGGTGTCTGAGTCATCACGATTCCATCTGTAAAATCAAGTACTGCATGATTTTCAATGTAAGTCTAATTAAATTCATTAAAGGTCATCCTTTAATTATCAAATGACTTCATTACTAGCAAGATGCTGAAAATTATGGATTTTTCTGACTATATTCATTTTCATTTTGAAAAGAAGCTCATTCCACCTTTGTCTGCTGTCTACATCTGACGTTGGCTTTACTACAGGGTATTAAAGAGTAACTGGCTGCTTCTTAAAAACCTTTTATGCTAGTACATGAAAAGAGTAAGGTTTCTAGTTGTAGAGATCATTCAAATTCTAATTAAAATTGTTTGTACTTAATTGCAGCTTTTTTGAGTAATTATTTCTAAACAATGATTTGGGTTGTGGGTTATGTTTTGTGATGTAAACAAATTAGTACAAGTCTGTCAATGAGTGCATAATACCCATCAGACTGCTTTATTTTCCTACAAAGTTTGTGGCAAAATAAAATAAAATGTGCCATTTTGGTTTCTTGATCAATCATACCTGAACAGTCCACTTAAATCGTTTTATTTTATTGGTATTTCTTTTCAATGTTTTCCCAAGTCCTTCAGCTTGTCAGAATTTTAACACATAATATATTTTATATTGTGTGTACTAATTTTAATAACTATAATAACATAAATACTTATTTATGTGCAATATTACATTACATATTCAGGCTTAACATTTAAAAGGCATTGAACAGTGATGTGAAAAAGAAAGTAACACCCTTAAGATTCTGTGGTTTTACATATAAAGGTATATCTGACCTTCACCTACAGTAGTTAACACCAAATCCTAACAATAGATCAATCAAATGACAAATACACACACATTTTACTTTGTCATTATTTATTAAACAAACGAAATCAGCCAACATTCAAAAGCCTTGTAAAAAACTAAGTGCATCATTACTGCTTCATTATCGGTTAAGAAGGTAATTAGAATCATGTGTTGCTAAACAAGTGCACATGATTAGTTCATCATCAGAAAGTGTTTTCCACCTGTATATAAAATCAGAACCTGTGGGTGTTTGGGTGGGAGGTATTTGGGTTTGTAGTATGGTATGGTTAGGTTAAAAAGAGATCTGTGACAGTTTTAGAGAGGATCATTGCTGCTCACCAATCTACCCAGGAGTGTGTGTCCCAGCAAACTCATCTTAATATTAGGCCATGTGATACTCCTAGAACTCAAAAGCTACACCTGTGGATCTACAGGCTTCTGGTAAGATGGTAAATATTATAGTTCATTATTCTACCATTAGGTAAAGGCTTAAAACCTCTCTCCAAAAAACACTTCTGCATGGCTTAGGCTTACAAAACAGCATCTGAATAAATCATGAGGCATTTAGAACAATGACCTCTACTGTATATGGATGAAACCAAAGTGGAGTTGTTAGGCAATTATGTAGAATGACATTTTTTGGGGAAAAAAAACACACTGCATATTACTATAAGAACTTCATACAGTATCAAGCATGGTGGTGGAGGTGTGTTGCATCATCCTGGTGTTGGGTGCTGGACACTGGTGGAGATGGAGGGGAGTCCTGTACCTGTAAAATACTTTAAGTGGAGAGTCCTGAAAAGAGCTAGATGGGTATAAGGATTATTAATTATTTATTACTCTAAAGGCTTTGTTGCAAACTCCATGTAAGGCTTGAAATGGGTGTGTCATTTTACCTTGCAGGCTGTATTTGTGGAATGACTGACTTGTCTGTGTAGCTTTTTGGAAATTGGTATTGCATCCCTAGGCAATTTTCTCCAGGCCACCTGTGTTTAGGAGAGCCACCCTGATTCACATTACATCATAATGGTACAAAACCTCTTTCACTTCATAGTGATCAAATTCACCCAACAGAAAGGGGATACTGTCTTTCAAAAAATTTTGTAGTCCTCTGATTTGTAACTCTATAATTTTATCCTTGGCTTTTGAAACTTCCTTGGTTTTCATGGTTAAATGCAACATCCCTCTCTGGAGGCCTTACTGTGACTGATGTATGGTATGTATTTTGAAACCATCCCAGCCATGATTTTTGTGCACAGACAGAGGCCTCTCAATGAATTGTGACTCATTAAGGTGATTTTCTGCACCTAAATTAACTAAGGTTTGCTATAGCACTGGTTTGTTCTGTTTTTGTTTTATAACAATTATATTTTTACCTTGTGCTTTGAAGCTGTGGGGAAAGGTTGTGTGTATGTTAAAAGCAAATGATAATTGCTGCTCCAAACCGTCATGACTGCAAGCTTTAAAACAACCAAATGTGAAAATTGTGCAAGGGTCTGAATATTGTACTTTTGTGAGACACAAAAAGCATTTTTTATTACAACTAACTTGAATTGTCTACATGTGTTCTTCTAGAAAGCTCTTTCATTTCCAAACTTCATCACCCTCTCCCATTGACTTGTATGTTTTGATTCCCTGCTTTAGCTACACAAATTCCCATCATTTACATTTTGCTGCCCCCATGTGTGTAGTTGGTAAAAGCAGCATCAGATAATTTAGTGAGTAAGATTCTAGATTTTTGGGCTTTAGAATGCAGTTGTGAATATTTTGCATCTAAATATTAGAATGTTTTCAGTGATAGAAGTTTTAGACTTCTGTCAAATAAAATCCATAGAAAAAATGTACCTGTCTATGTGATTTGACTTGACGCAATATACTGCATCAGTCTATTGATGTCTGATTTTGTATTTAGGCTATGCTAACCATAAGGAAAAGGAATTGTTACTATGAAACAATCAATATACTGTTATTCCTGTAGCATTAATCATATAGCATATTGTTAATACAAAAAAATAGTAAAGTTATAACTCAAATGGTGTGTACAGACTGGAGAAATGCATTTCCATTTTATTAGAATCAAAGTCCTTCATAAACAGCAATGGAAAAGAACAGGTACATTCTTTAAGCATGCTATTGATTTTCTGCTAAAAACATACTGTATATTAGCAGGTAAGCCTATTGGGAAATCTTGGGAGATACAAAGTCATGCATTGTTAGAGGCTTATTGAAAGATTACAGGCATATGTTTGGTAATTAGGATGATAGCTCTTAGGACACTGGAATATGGATAATCTTTATTTGAATTAATTGCAATTACTGTGCAGGCATTTTTCCTGGTTTTCACCCTCCATGCTTCACTTGTGGACATTACTACCCAGAAAACTACCTCCAAACCTTACAAAGCATTGAAGCTACCATATCTCAATGGCCACAAAATGCAGGTTCTATGCAAATGATATACATTTCTTACCTGACCTTCTTAGGCTAATGCTTTGTTGCCCAGGAATTCTGGTTTCTTATGTTTGGGTAAAACAAATATACTGTTCAGTATATCTCCAGGCTTTCTCTGGTGATGTTGGTACCACCTATAATAGTTTTTTAAAAAAAACTATACTGTACCCCCTGCACTCTCACTTTAGGTTTAAAATGACATCCTTACATAGAGGAGACATTTGAAGCCTACAATATACTGCAAGGGCTGCTTAAACAGCCAAATGATCAGGAAAGTGGGCACTTTGCAGGTACCAACAGACTACAGTAACAACTAGTAGTAACGCCAAAAGAGTAAATGCACAGACAAAGCCAATGATGAGCAAGCCAAATTCAGACACCAGGAAGGCAATCAGAAGAAAGACATCACAAAAACCAGAGGAATGGAAACACAGGAACCAGCAGAAAAGATTGAAGAAAGAGCTGGAATAAGGCAAGAAATGGGACACTTGAATCAAGAAAATCAGATAAGAGGCCAGAGCTCAAACCAGAGGTTACAAAACTAAACATTGAAATGAATGAGTCCACTGGATATATGGAGCTGAAGAAGGGAGGCGTGGAGTCCTAGATTCACTGGTCAGTCTGTGATTGGCTAAGACTTAATGTAGCCATCTGCATGGGCTGTGCCTCCTCTGCACAGCTGGACCAGCAACCAGTGCTTGAGGTGGAACTGTAACTATATATATATATGAAAAAGACTGAGTTTTGCTGCAAAGAAAATAATGATGATTGAAGAAGGAATGTTGACCAACAAACAAAACTTGACTTCATTTAAGGAGACAACAGTTGCTCCATATATGTTAACCATCTGCCAAAGCTTTCTTCATCTAAAGTGCAAAGTATTTTAAGATCCTTCAGGATCAAAGGCTGGGAATAAATGAGTTTGATTCTTCAGACAGAAGTTCAGTTTCCTCCCACTCAAAAATGAAAAATGACACTTTTATTTGCCTTACATTAATTTGTTTGAATACCCCCCCTCTGTGTGCTGATAACTTAAAGTACATTATAATGCAGCTGAACTTCACTCACCATATACAGTAAATATGACTTTTACATATTTACACTAGGAAATTGCAACAACTCGGTCAACAGTGATAATCGCAGTTTAAATCTTCCTGCTTAGTTGCAGACATGGCAAATTGAAATGTATGCCTCATTTAGCTTGACAGAATGCAGAATAAAGAATTGTGAATAATTATATACAATAAATAGTTAGGTTGGATCTGAATTATGGATTCACAGGCTTTAGACCTGACAGAGTTGCTTTAATCACCTTCCAACAGAGAGGGGCACTGTTTATCCAGCCACTCAACACTTTCTTACTCAATTTCTGAAAAATCACTTCAGGACTGAGGCAACCTACTGCTATCACAGCTGTGTAAATGAGCAGTGGTAGTTAGTGCCATTTGATTTAGTGGCTTGTTTAATGAGAAGTAAATCAAGCAGTTAATTTTCTGATTAAACTTAAAAAAAAAACCCCAGAAAATAATAACGTCACAGTTGACAGGTATTTATGATCACTTAGCCATTTCAGGAGGCTAATGGAATGTCTGGGTACACCTACAGCATAGCATCTTAATGAGGAAGGAATTCAAAGATCCATTCATAAACAAAGAAAAAGCAATTATTTTCTAAAAAGTTAAATCTTGAAAGGTCAGCTCTGGTACTAAATAGTAAAAAAGGGTAACACTTGTAGATCATGTTGTAGAGTGTTACAAATAGGATAATCTGATCCCAACTAAAGGGTATATACAGTATGTCCTGCATCTATACTACACTCCACTGTTTGTCAGCAGCCACTCCCAGATACTGTTGTCAGTGTATAGCATGTACTTTTGTAATACATCAACATTATGGTAATGTATTATTTATATTGAGCCACCCACTTGCTAACAACTTTATCCAATACAGAGTCATTAGGAGCCAGAGCCTATCCCAGCAAGCAACGGGCACACATCACAGGGCGCTTACAGACATAAATGCATGCATACTGTACATACCCACAGCAGGGCCACTTTTTTCATGAAATAATTAACATAATGTACCTGAATGTCTTTGGGCTACAGTATGTTAGGAAATGCACACAAACAAATGCCCACATAGATAGCACCCCAGGAATCAATTGCAGGGCCCTAAGGCTGAGAGGTAGCAAAGCTAACCACTATGCTACCATGTTGCCCTATTACTTACATATTGTAACTATATAAAATGTATACAGTATTTAATTTTT